ATCACCAGGACTTGGTCAATAGCTGCCAGTTTCTTTACCCGCCCTCCCCTCCCCCCTTGTCTTCCAACTCAGGACCAAGCAGAGGAAACCAAATAACCTCGCTAACAATCACATGGGATGATTTCCTGCTTCTGGAGAGCCCGCCTCCAGCCATCCCAGGCCCCCACCTCAGCCAGGGCACACCGGAGGCCCTCTCCCTTTTCCACTATAAAACGTTCCCATCGCCTGTCTTTGAGTCTGCCAAATGCAGGGATGTTGGGTGACTCCCTCGCTACAGCAAGTTGGGAATAAATAACCTTTGTTGATTCTCTTTTGGGTGGTCTTCATTTCTTTCCACTGGTGCTAATGCTGTCCTAGTGGTTATTGCTTAATCTGAAAGGGCGAGGGCTATGCCCTCCATCTTGCCCCAGGACGAGGGCTACGCCCTCCATCTTGCCCCAGGGCGAGGGCTACGCCCTCCATCTTGCCCCGGATCCTCCATTTTTGGGCAGCAGCCATTAGCTGTGTGCTCAGCAAGGAGCTTCTTCCCGGAAGCACAAGCCTCTGCTAGCCACACCTAAGATTTCTTTAAACTAACCAATGATAATCAAGGGAAGTGCGTGTCATAGATACGACCACATCCTGTGTAACAAGACACCGATTTGTGCCCGGCCAATCAGCAGGGCCCACAGGCCTCTCTCCTCCCCTTACTCAACCCCCCTGTAAAACCCCTCTCCCCACAGAGCTCCCTCTCTCTCTGCCACTTGCCACTGCGTCGGTGAGTGTGGTCGGGGAGCCGAGCTAGCTCGAATAAAGCCTCTTTGCTTTTGCATCGGACTCGGCTGGCTCCCTGGTGGTCTTTTGGGGATCCTGAAATCTGGGCATAACAAATCCTTTGAGCCTCAGAGTGGTCATCACCATTGTCTACACCCTGCCAGGGGCTGGAGCCATACTCTGCGATGTGGTACTTCTCGCCCTACTCACTTTCAATAGAATATAAAATGCATCTTATGATTGGTTCTCAAAGCCTCTGGGAAATTTATCCATAGTAACCTGCCTAATTCCCACCTCTTTTTGCCTTCAGGGGCAGAAAGAGTGCCTCCTTTCCCTGGGGTAGACAGGCTAGACCAGTGATGGTGAACCTAACCTATGACACGTGACACGTGTGTCAGAGGTGACACTGGAACTCATTTTTTTGGTTGATTTTTCTTTGTTAAATGGCATTTAAATATATAAAATAAATATCAAAAATATAAATCTTTGTTTTACTATGGTTGCAAATATCAAAAAATTTCTATATGTGACACGGCACCAGGGTTAAGTTAGGGTTTTTCAAAATGGTGACACGCCGTGCTCAAAAGGTTTGCCATCACTGGGCTAGACCCTGCCCTTCCCCATCTTTGTATCCTTCACATTGTAGGTAATGGACATATTCCTGTGTGTGTGTGTGTGTGTGTGTGTGTGTGTGTGTGTGTTTTAAAGAATAAGTCACTTGCCTCTCTTTCATAATAGAAAAGCCCAAAGCCAGAAAGTTTATTTTAATAAAAATTTTAGCACAGCCGAAACCGGTTTGGCTCAGTGGATAGAGCGTCAGCCTGCGGACTGAGGGGTCCCAGGTTCGATTCCGGTCAAGGGCATGTGCCTGGGTTGTGGGCACATCCCCGGTGGGGGATGTGCAGGAGGCAGCTGATCGATGTTTCTCTCTCATCGATGTTTCTGACTCTCTCTATCTCTCTCCCTTCCTCTCTGTGAAAAATCAATAAAATATATTAAAAAAAAAAAAAATTTTAGCACACTCAGCTTCAAAGATAAAACATGATGAAAAGCATTCCAAAGACAAAGCTGACTTTGTTCATCCTTCATAGTGGAGTGTTCTATGTAACCACAGAGATTCTAATGTGTTGGTCTTGGGTGGGTCCTAGGAGTCAGTATTTAAAAGCTTCCAATGTGGCCCTGGCTGGTTTGGCTCAGTGGATAGAGCATCAGCCTGAGGACTAAAGGGTCCTGGGTTTGATTCTGGTCAAGGGCACATGCCCAGGTTGTGGGCTCAATTGGCAGGAGGCAGCCAATCAATGATTCTCTCTCATCATTGATGTTTCTATGTCTCTCTCCCTGTCCCTTCCTCTCCAAAATCCATAAAAATATATTTAAAAATAAATAAATACAAGTTTCCAGTGTGCGGAACTTTGGAGAAGTCCGGACATAGAAAACTGCCATTGTGTGTTCTGCCAAACTTTACTGTGTGTTCCAGTCACCTGGAGAACCTACTTAACTGCAGGTTGTGATTCAGTAGGTCTAAGCTGAACTAAGACTCTGCATTTCTAACAGACTCCTGAGTGTGGCAGATGCTGCTGGCTCACAGATTATATTCGGAGTAGAAGCAAGGCCTAGCCTATCGGAGAAAATAGATTGAGTCCTACTTCTCAAGAGATTCTGATTAGGTTAGTTTTTGGTTAGACCCAACAATCTGCATTTTATTTTATTTTATTTTATTTCTTCTTCTGAACATTTACAGCATTTACAATCTGATTTATTTGTGTTTTTTTTTAAGTATATCTTTATTGTTCAGATTATTACATTTGTTCCTCTTTTCCCCCCCCCATAACTCCCCTCCTCCCAGTTCCCGCCCCACCCTCCGCCCTCACTCCCCACCCACTGTCCTCATCCATAGGTGCACGATTTTTGTCCAGTCTCTTCCCGCATCTCCCACACCCCTTTCCCCGCCAAGAATAGTCAGTCCATTCCCTTTCTATGTCCCTGATTCTATTATAATCACCAGTTCATTCTGTTCATCAGATTATTTATTCACTTGATTCTTAGATTCACTTGTTGATAGATGCATATTTGTTGTTCATAATTTGTATCTTTACCTTTTTCTTCCTCTTCCTCTTCTTAAAGGATACCTTTCAGCATTTCATATAATCCTGGTTTGGTGGTGATGAACTCCTTTAGCTTTTCCTTATCTGTGAAGCTCTTTATCTGACCTTCAATTCTGAATGATAGCTTTGCTGGATAAAGTAATCTTGGTTGTAGGTTCTTGGTATTCATCACTTTGAATATTTCTTGCCACTCCCTTCTGGCCTGCAAAGTTTCTGTTGAGAAATCAGCTGACAGTCGTATGGGTATTCCCTTGTAGGTAACTGAGTTTCTTTCTCTTGCTGTTTTTAAGATTCTCTCTATCTTTTGCTCTTGGCATTTTAATTATGATGTGTCTTGGTGTGGTCCTCTTTGGATTCCTTTTGTTTGGGGTTCTCCGCCCTTCTTGGACCTGTAAGTCCATTTCTTTTACCAGGTGGGGGAAGTTTTCTGTCATTATTTCTTCAAATAGGTTTTCAATATCTTGCTCTCTCTCTTCTTCTGGCACCCCTATAATTCTGATGTTGGTACGCTTGAAGCTGTCCCAGAGGCTCCTTACACTATCCTCGCATTTTTGGATTCTTTTTTCATTCCGCCCCTCCGGTTGGGTGTTTTTTGCTTCCTCGCATTTCAAATCATTGACTTGATTCTTGCGCTCCTCTGGTCTGCTGTCGGGAGTCTGTATAATATTCGTTATTTCAGTCTGTGTATGCTTAATTTCTAGTTGGTTCCCCAATATAACATCGAGGGTCTCATTAGTTTTCTTGTAGATCTCATTAAGTTTATTGGCGGCTTCTAAACAGTTCTTGAGAGACCTTAAAAGTGTGGTTCTGAACTCTATATCTTCCATTGACAATTTTGTCCTGTTTCTTTGTCTCCGCATTTTGTTATGCTTCCTTGGTGCACCCCCTAGTGGTCTTTGTTTGCAGTCTTGTAGTTAAGCCTTGATTGTTGTAGCTAATACCAGGGAGGGTTTGACCTCCAGGCCAAGTGGCTATGAGAATCAGCTGTGTCTGCAGTGAGAGAACTTCTGACCTCTAGGGAGGTGCTAATCTAGCCTTTGCCTGAGGCTATCCGGCAAATGCCTCTGTGCAGGGCTTGGGCGGGGCGGGTCGCACAGGATCAACAGGGTGGGCCAGAGAGAGCAGTTATGGCGGCTCTCAGTCCTGTCCCCAGGGGCTCTGCCTTTCTGAGTCCCAGTACCCGCTGCAAAGCTCGGAGAGAAAGCTGCACTCGCTCTGACCGAAGCAGACAGTCCCGCTTCTCCCGTTTGAGTCTGGGTCCCTAAAGACTCGCCTGGATCTGGAGCTCAGAGTCTGCGACTCCCTCCCGATTGAAAACGCCAACCGCGCCCTCCGCCACCAGCCCACTCCGCGCACTCCGCACCTCAGAATTTGACTTCAGCACTGCGCCTCCTCTGAGTGTCCGTATGCGTTTCTCTTTCCTCCTAGTTGTAGGACTTCCACTCAGCCAGCGTTCCTGTGGTTCTGGGTGATGTCCCTTCCGTTTTTTAGTTTCACTTTTGAAGTAGTTGTTCAAGGCAGCAAACTCCGGCGTTGACCTATGCCGCCATCTTGGTTCTCTCCCAATCTGCATTTAAAAAAAATATTTTTATTGATTTAAGAGAGAAAGGGAGAGGGAAAGAGAGTTGGAAACATCAATGATGAGAGAGAATCCTTGATCGGCTGCCTCCTACAGGCCTCACACAGGAGGTGGAGCCTGCAACCCAGGCATGTGCCCCAACCAGGAATCGAACCATGACTTCCTGGTTCATAGGTTGGTGTTCAACCATTGAGCCACGCCGGCCGGGCTGCATTTTAACAGGTTTTCTAAGTTGTTTCTGATTCTCAGGTGGATTTCAGAACTCCTGGAATAAATGAATAAAAATGAAACTAAATTGAAAGAAACCTTGGGGATTAACCCTGGTTTTGTCATTAACCCCTGTATGACCTTAGGCAATTTCCCCCCTCTGTCTGTCTCCTTTTCCTCATCAATTAAAGGATGGAGCAGTTGCTTTCTTTGGCACTTCTAAACTCTTAGTTTGTGGAATCTCCCACAACAAATCAATGGCCATCGGCGGCCTGCGTCTGAGAACTACAATCCCCACAATGCTGCGCACGTCGCCGCTCTCCCGCGGGGTCGTGGAGCGGTAACCCTATTGGAGGCGCTCCCACAACCCTTTGCGGTGGTTCAAGATGACGGCGCCCAGAGGTTCCATCAGCGATGCGGAGAGCAGCAGCGGCGGCAGCGACGCCGAGGAGCTGGCGCGGTGCCGCGAGGCGGCGGTGCCGGCCTGGGGCGTGGGGCAGCGCCCGAGAGGCCCGGAGAAGAAAAGAGCCGGTAGGGGCTGGGCTCGAGCCGTCTGGCCGGAGGGCGTAGGCTCTTCCCCGGGCCGAGAGGGGGGCTGGTGGGAACGAGACTTCGGGACTCGACTTCTTCCGAGAGCTCCAGGCACTGGTGTGGGTCGTTTCATGGTCCCATTCGGGGAAACTGAGGCACCCGAATGCCTCTTGACTCAGCTCCCTTGGGCGTCACACCGGGAGCCGCCGCCGCCCCGAAATGACTGCGGCAGGCGCTTTCTGGACTCGCACCCACCCTTCCTCCGCCTGCAGCGCATTTCCACGCCCCGGGGCTGCCGGGGAGCCTGTCCAACACCCAGCTCTGACCGCGACGCCCTGGTGTCGCGGGAAAGGTCCGAAGCTCACCTTGGGGCTACCTGATCACAATCCACAGGTGCATGGATTTGGGATGGGGAAGGCATTTCGTCTTTACTTTCATTAACCTCTGAAATTTAGCATCCCTTCCCATTTTCCTGTGAGCAACAAGCCACAGTAGCTTTGACAATACCTGTTACTTTGTCCTGTCGAAAGTCACAGATTTTCATATCTCATTACAATCTTTGCCGATAAATGTTGGAAAAAATAACTTACATTCATTCCTACTTTAAAGTTACAATAATTTTTAGACCCTAGAGCTAAAGAATCTCTAGCCCTGGTCGTGGGGCTCAGTGGTTGATCTTCGTTCAACATATGAACCAGGAGGTCACAGTTCCATTCTGGTCAGGGCACATGGGGGGTTGCGGACTGGTCCCCAGTAGGGGGCGTGCTGGAGGCAGCCCATCAATGATTCTCATTATTGATGTTTCTGTCTGTCCCTTCCCTCTCTAAAATCAATTAAAAAAAAAAATATATATATTTTTAAAAGAATCTCTCGATCTTATTTAATGCATTAAAAAGGACGCACACATAATAGTGTGCCAGGTTTGGTTTTTTGCTGTTATGGTAACTGAATTTCAACATAATTGTGTGTTTTTTGTAATCCTGTGTGTGTGTGTGTGTGTGTGTGTGTGTGTTTTAATATATTTTTATTGATTTCAGAGAGGAAGGGAGAAGGGAGAGAGAGATAGAAACATCAGTGATGAGAGAGAATCATTGATCAGCTGCCTCCTGCACACCCCCTATTGGGAATGTAGCCAGCAACCTGGGCATGTGCCCTTGACTGGAATTGAACCTGGGACCCTTCAGTTCACAGGCCAAGGCTCTATCCACTGAGCCAAACCAGCTAGGGCCTATATGTTTTATTTTATTCATTTAAAACATTATTCTGAGAAGGGATCCAAGCTATACAGACTGCCAGAGCAGGCCATGGTAAAGCATGGTTTAAAAACTACTTTTGCCCGGCTGGCATGGCTCAGTGGTTAAGGGTTGACCTATACTGATAACCAGGAGGTCATGGTTCGATTCCCGGTCAGGGCACATACCTAGGTTTTGGGCTTGATCCCCAGTGTGGGGTGTGCAGGAGGCAACCGATCAGTGATTCTCTTTCATCATTGATGTTTCTATCTCTCCCTCTCCCTTCCTCTTTGAAATCAATAAAAATATATTTTAAAATAAATAAAATCCCTGCTTTTGCCTTAGCTGGTTTGGCTCAGTGGATAGAGGGTCGGCCGGCGGACTGAAGGGTCTTGGGTTCAATTCCAGTCAAGGGCACATGCCTCTGCCTCCACCAATTGACATGTTTATCTCTGCTTCTCTCCCTCCCTTCCATTCTCTCTAAAAATTAATGGAAAAATATCCTTGGGTGAGGAGTAAAAATAAAAAAAATAAAAATAAAACCCCTGCTTTTGTTTAAAAAGACTTACAAGCCCTTTTGTAATCTACTCCCTGCCTGCTTCCCCTTTCTTGCTGTCTTACCACACTGCACTTCCCATAGGTAGGCTCCTTCCTCCCTCCCCTGACTTGTTTTCTTTCCCTGTATTATTAATTATATATGTATATATCCTATTTAATAAAGAGGGAATATGCTAATTGACTGTTCCACCCTCAAAGATGGTGCCCAAGCCAGTAAGGAGGGAATATGCTAATTGACTGCCACGCCCTCAAAGATGGTGGCGCTCACAGCCACAAGATGGCCGGCAGGGGAGGGCAGTTGTGGGCAACCAGGCCAGCAGGGTAGTGCAGTTGGGGGCGACCGGGCTGGCAGGGGAGTTGTTAGGCATTGATCAGGCTGGCAGGGGAGTGGTTAGGGGGTGATCAGGCTGGTAGGCAGAAGCAGTTAGGGGCAGTCAGGCAGGCAGGCAGGCAGGCAAGCAGTTGGGAGCCAGCAGTCCCGGATTGTGAGAGGGATGTCCGACTGCTGGCTTAGGCCTGATCCCTGTGGGGTCCCAGATTGGGGAGGGTGCAGGCTGGGCTGAGGAACACCCCCCCACACACACACACACCCTTGCACAAATTTCGTGCAGTGGGCCTCTAGTATGAATATAAATAATTGTGGGGTTTTTGTGTCATTTGCCCAGTGGAGATAATGGTGACCCCTGTACCGGGATTGTTGAGAAGAGTTAATGAGCTATACATGTAGTCACTTAAAATCATGTGTGGCATACAGCTGATGTTGTTATTGTCATTTCCTCTCTAAACTCAATTTTCATTATTTCCACAGATGCTGCAAATAATCAGTTGCCAACTACCCAGCCAAGCCTCAGGTACTGCGCACTTTGGGTTCAGGTTCATACATTCATTTAACAAATATTTCCCCTGCAATATGTCAGTGCTGGGTTAAGTCATGGGATAACAGGGTGAATGAGACACATGTAGTCCCTGCCCGCATGGGGGCAGCTTCTGAGCTGGCAGAAAGTGAGGTCCTTCTGTGTGTGTTGTAGGCATAAGGTGGATGAGCACGAACAAGATGGCAATGAGCTTCAGACCACCCCCGAATTCCGAGCCTACGTAGCCAAGAAGCTGGGAGACCTGCTGGACAGGTAACCCAAAGCATACCTTCTCCCGCCCCCCCCCCCCCCCCCAGTCACAGGGACAGTAGGGCTCCTATTGGCTGGGGCTCACCGTGGCAAGCGCGTGGCATACGTCACCTCATTGCATTCAGAACTGCCTGGCCCCGCAGACCCTGGCGTTCTCTAGATGAGGAGACAGAGGCTCTTCGTGAGAAGCAGCATTTGCTGAAGTCACAGAGAGGAAGGAGCAGATCTGGGACTCAAACCCAGGTGTGTTTGACTCCAAAGGCCTTGCTTTTTTTTTTTTTTTTTTTTAAATATATTTTTATTGATTTCAGAGAGGGGAGAGAGAGAGAGAGAGAGAGAGAGAGAGAGAGAGAGAGAGAGAGAAACATCAATGATGAGAGAGGATCATTGATTGGCTGCCTCCTGCACACCCCCTGCTGGGAATCAAGCCCGCAACCCAGCATGTGCCCTTGACCAGAATCAAACCTGGGACCCTCCAGTCTGCAGGCTGACACTATCTACTGAGCCAGACCAGCTAGGGCCTTGCTCTTAAGCTCTGTGTTGTCCTGCTCCCATGGGATAAGAGGCAACACAGAAGCAAGAGCCCATTCACAATAGGGCAAGAGACAGAATTTCTGTATGTCAGGCACTGTGCCAGTTCTCTGTCTTACATTTGAGAATATAATTTATAAAGATCTAGGTCAGCATTTTAAAAATAGGCACCAAGGAATACTAGTCCAAAGTGTGACTAGAAAAAAGGATCTAACAACAAAGAAGTCTGCATACCCCCGTGTGCCCTTGCAGTAAACCGACCTGTGTAACTTTGTTCAGCCCAGGAGTTTCTAGACTCATTTGGCTGCAGTGCCTTCGTTTGGTGGACGACTGATAATGTAGCATGGGACATGTTTCTGGATGTGCTGGTCTAGATCCACTCCTGATTGACAGAGCAGGTTTTGAAAGGGAGGTGAGGATGTTCAAGCCAGAGTCCTTCACTTCGAAGGAGGTACCAGAAAGGACAAGTGAGTCCTCCAAGTGTAAACCAACTGCTCTTCTGAGACGGAATGTTGGACCACAACTCAGCAACCTGAACCACCATGACACGGGGCCAGTCCCAAACTCGAAAACGTGGGAAACGTGTTTAGGAAGGTCATTTGGCACTTCAGCCAGTGAAAGCAGCATTTCCTTGTGACTGGTTGGCTTCAGGGTATTCAATGCCCACCTGGCGCTATGGAAAGCCCCAGGGGAAACCCAGCAGATGCTGGGCAAGCAGCATCAGAATATTCCCTGCAGAGTTTTTGTTTGTCCCTTGTGTGAGATCAGGTTTTCTCAGCCTTGGCAGTATTAACGTTTGGACTGGATGGTTCTTGTTTGTGGGACTATTCTGTGCATTGTAGGGCGGTCAACAACATGCCTGGCCTCTACCCACTAGGTCCTTGTAGCATTCCCCCCAGCAGTTATGACAACCAAAAATGTGGCCAGACATTGCCAAATATTCCAAGGGACCAACATCGAACCATTTTGTTAAGATGCCGGACCAGTCAGGCATGGGTGGCGTCGTCTCCAGTTCCTCTTCCCGGCTGACTTCCTGGGGATGCCTTTGGCATGTGCGGAAGGCAGTTAGGAGCAAGCACCCGGCATGCTGCTGTGTCTGCTGAGAGGACGTGCTGAGAGCGTTGTTCTCCATAGGGCACAGTGACCTCTGTCAGCATCACCAGAGACAGGCGTCCTGGTCTCCAGCTCTCCCTGCTCTGCTTCTGAAGAGAGGGTTTATTTTTGGTAGAGGGCCTGTGGAACTTACTGCTTATCATGATGACAGTAATCGTCATCACATGTACCATTCACTGAGTTGCTGCTTGTGGCCAGGCTCTGTGCTAAGGGCTTGATATCCATTATCTCATTTGCTCCTGTGGCGATCCAAAGAGGTAGGGGCTCCAGTGCGCAGAAAGGTAACAGGCTCAGAGAAATGAAGTCACTCGCCAAAAGGGACACAACTAATGAAGCCAGGATTCAAAACCCAGGTCTCTGAAGTCTAAATAAGGCCAGTGGATTGTATCATTGTCAGTTTCTTGGTTGTGATATTGAACTGCAGTTACTTACAATGTTACCATAGGGAGAAACTGGATGAAGAGTATATGGAATCTGGCCCTGGCCAATGTTGGTAAGTGGTTAGTGTACCGGACTGAGCACTGAAGGGTCATGGTTTTGATTCCCGGTCAAGGGCACATACCTGGGTTGCAGGTTCTATCCCCAGCCCTGGTCAGGGCTTATGCAGGAGGAAGCCAATCAGTGTGACTCTCTCACATTGATGTTTCTCTCTCTCTCTCTCTCTCTCCCTCTCTCCCTCCCTTCTTCCTTCCCTCTCCCTCTCCCCCTTCCCCTCCCCCTCCCCCTCTCCCTTTCTCTTCCTCCTCTCTCCTCCTTTCTCCTCTTTTCTGCCCCTCCCTTCCACTCTCTCTAAATATCAATGGAGCCCTGACCGGTTTGGCTCAGTGGATAGAGCGTTGGCCTGCGGACTCAAGGGTCCCAGGTTCGATTCCGGTCAAGGGCATGTACCTTGGTTGGGGGCATATACCCAGTGGGGGGTGTGCAGGAGGCAGCTGATCGATGTTTCTAACTCTATAAAAAACTCTCCCTTCCTCTCTGTAAAAAATCAATAAAATATATTTTTAAAAAAAATAAATATCAATGGAAAAAATATCTTCTGGTGAGGATTAACAAACAAAAACAAGAGTATATGGAATCTCTCTGTATTATTTCTTGGAACTGCTTATCAATCTATAGTTATCTCAAAAAATTTTTTAAATTAAAGTTGAAAAAGACAACAAAAAGCAAGTGTTATAAGACTTCCTCACTACACTTTGACTATTTCTGTCTCTCCGGCGTTTATTTTCTCTTAGCCCTGTTTGAAATTGTATTTATTTTGTTGTGCCTTGAGTATCTTTTTTAAAAATGTATTTTATTGATTTTTTACAGAGAGGAAGGGAGAGGGATAGAGAGTTAGAAACATTGATGAGAGAGAAACATCGATCAGCTGCCTCCTGCACGCCCCCCACTGGGATGTGCCCGCAACCAAGGTACATGCCCTTGACCGGAATTGAACCTGGGACCCTTCAGTCTGCCGACGCTCTATCCACTGAGCCAAACCAGTCAGGGCTGTGCTATGAGTATCTTAAAAATCCTCAGCATTTTCTGGGATAAAGTGGGGCTTAAACAAATGAAGCCCTGCAGTTTGAGTGGCAGGAGCTGCTCAGTAGGTTATAGCTGTGGGTGTTAGCTTTCTTCAGGCCAGTGTGCTGTCTGCTTTTGCATTTAAGACCGCATGCTCCATCCCCTACACTTAAAAAAAAAAATGGTGTTAATTTTTTGAAAAAGATTTTGTTGGTACCCAAAATTTCGTCATAAATCAACCATCTCATCTTCCCTTAGCTCCATTACCATCTCAGAAGCTGTGAAGGGACCAACAAAGGCGGAGGTACAGAAAGCCACCCCGGAGGATGATGGTGAGTAGTCATCTTTCATCTCTCTATATAAGAGGCTAGTATGCAAAGTGTCCCCTCGGGAGTTCGACTGGGAGACCCGGAGTTTGATCGCTCGCTATGACGTGCGCTGACCACCAGGGGGTGGTGCAGAATGAAGGAAGGCCCCTGCTGGCAGCTGGAAGGCCCCAATCAGCTCTCATTGCCGGCCAGGCCTAGGGACCCTACCCGTGCACGAATTTTGTGCACCAGGCCTCTAGTACAGTTAATATCATCTGTCATTCAGTAAGCACCCACCATATGTCTGGAGCTAGGAAATAGCTTTGGTGTATTACCCTCTGTCATCCGTGCATCTGCTCTGAGGCAGGTATGATGATACCCCCTTTGACCCCCTTACCGGGGGACTGTAAGGATGGCTGTGGCTCTCAGGAATGAAGGCCCTTGCCTGAGGTGACCACGCCTGTCTAACCCTGAGCAGAGCTCCCACCACCACACTGCACAGCCTCTCCCGTCCGAGGCTGTCTGTCCCTTGTCAGGCTCATTGCCACTTTGGAAGCTGCCTTAGGCGGGAGGCTCAACTGCTGAGTCCCAAACACCGCTGAGGGCGTGCTGGCCTGCTTGGCCACTGGCGCCTCAGCACCCCGTCCTCTGGCTCCAGCGTCGTCAGCAGGCCCCTCCACACATTGGCGTCCTTTTGTGCTTAGACGGGAGCGATTCCTGGGTCTTTGCCTCTGGACTAGGTGCTCCCTGAGCGCAGAGGCAGGGCACCCTTGGCGCCTGGAGGAGAGGTGGCCCTGGCAGTGCTGACTCTGCCCCTTTGGGGTTTAGGCTTCCGCCTCTTCTTCACCTCCATCCCCGAAGGCCCTGAGGAGACAGCTGCTCCCCAGCCCCGCCGAAAGCGACTGCCTTCCCGCTCCAGGTGAGATCGCACATCCTCTCCTCAAGCCCCCTCGGTTTTGCCCATTTTCCGTGTTGGCCAGTGTCTGAGGGTAGCCAGGCAGATGGGTGCAGTCCCAGCCAAGGAGGAGCCATCAGGCAGCTTGAGAAATAGTACCCTCTGTGGGGGGAGGACACTCAGCAGGGCTGGCTTTGGAGGGTTACTGCTTTTGAGCACCCATCTTGTGTCAGACGCCTCACTCCTTGGACATCCTAGTGAGGCCTGGGCTCAGTGAAGATCCCCATTTTATAGATGAAGACACTGAGGGTCAGAGAGGTTATTGAATGAGCTCACATAGCCGGGAAGCAGAGAAGCAGTATTGGAACCCAGGTCTGCCTCACTCCCGAGCGCCGGAGCTCTCTACCTGCCGCCCACCCCCATGGGCGCTTTCTGGGGCAGCTTCGGGCTCAGTCCCAGCCCCAGCTGACCTAGACTGCCCTCTCCCTGCAGCAGTGAGGACAGTGATGAGGAGTGGCAGCGGTGCCAGGAGGCAGCTGTGTCAGCCTCTGCCATTCTGCAGGAGTCCGCCATCCATGGTCCTGTCAAGGTGGAAAAAGAAGCAAAGAAGAAGAAAAGGAAGTTGAAAAAGAAAGCCAAGGAGGCCAGCACAGACTTGACCACAGCCACCACCATCACAAGCAAGGCCACAGCCAGGAAGCAGGGAAAGGAGTCAGCCAAGCTCAACGGAGACCTTGTGTCCCTGGGAACCAAAAAGAAGAAAAAGGCAACGAGGGCCATTGAGGCCTCCCCATTCCCACCATCGAAGAGCGCAGCAGCCTCGCCTGCACACTGACCAGGTGCAGGGCGGGCCCAGCTAGTCCCAGGGATGAGGTGCCACTGGGGCGGGGCATTTCCAGGCGCTGCCTCCCTCTCCACGTTCAGGGACTTGGCTGTAAGTCCAGACTCTGCCCATGAACGGGGCTTGCCCAAGAGTCGGGGCAAAGCCTTGGCTGTAGAGTGAGAAGCCTAAGCAAGGCCTGCCCTCCTGTCCTCCGGGGCTGGGGCAGACCTGTGGTACCAGAACGTTCCGTGGTCTCGGAAGAAGGAGCCTTCCAGCTGGTCAAGGCTGATAGCCGAGCAGTGACGCTTCCATCTCCCCAGGGCTGTCGGAGGAGGTGAGTGAAGGGAGACTCACCCACCTCCTCAGCCTGGAGTGGGAGACAGTCTTAAGAAAATGAGGGAAGAGGTCCCTGAGGTGTCAAGGCCCAAAGAGTTTGTGCTTCTCCCCTCTGCCCTGTGACTGGATATAACATTGTCTGAAAAAGAAGGAGAGATTCCCCCCTCATTTTCCAGAACTTTCTCTACATTTGTGAACACACCACACACGATCATATCTCAACCAGATTATCGAAAATTAAGGGTCAGACCCAGCACGGAACTAAGTGATTGGGTGCTGCCTCCAGCAGTGCTGAATGCTGATGAGACATTTTAAATCAGCACCACACAGGAGGGTCCCTGCCCCGGCTGCAGGCTACGGAAGTGCCACAGGCCTTGTGGACTGGGCTTCATGCACGAGGCCTATTCACGGAGCAGAAGGCCAAGGTTAAGGTAAACTAATGGCACCGTCGCGTAGATTCGGCAGAGCAAGAATGACAGGTGGCCCCCGAGAGTCTGCGTGTGCTGGACCCATCCCTCCGGCTCCTGGCCCACCTGCGCCTCCCTCTGCCTGCCCAACCCACTGGGCGATGGGGGACAAGCAAGAAGGTTCCAGTATGTTCCTCGTTTACTTTATTAAAAGTTAAATAATGTACAGGCTCGTCTTTAGCTGGCTGCCAGCTGCAGGGGATGCAGCTCTTCATGGTCCCAGGATGGAGGTGGTCTAAAGCAGCGTCGCCAACTGGTGGTCCGTGAGGTCCGAAAGGTTGGCGACTGCTGGTCTAAAGGGCCCGGTTCTCGCAGCAGCCTCGGAGGGGAGGTCGCAGGAGCCTGGTGACACGGCACCTTGTTCCCTGGGTGGTACTCGGGCTCTTCGGGGCTGCATCTGCCTGGACCGCCTCATCCCTCAGGCCCCAGGCTTCCAGGCCTCAGGCTGGTCCACACAGGTGACTCCTCTCTGCTGGTCTCGTCTCTCCCTTCTCCCTCTGGGCACCTCTGTTCTGCCAGCTGCTCAGGCCTTGCTGCCTTCTGAGCTCAGCAGCTTCTCCTCCAAACCAGGGGAGGGTTTGCAGGACCCCAGAGCCCAGAGGAGCCGCTGCCCCAGGACTTAGCACCAGGCACAAAGTTGCAAGGCTCCACAGGAGTGAGGACACTTCCTAGCCTTGGGGGCTTTTCAGCAGAGGCAAGATACCAGGCTGGCACCGGAAGACATGATGCTCGGGAACAAATGTCCCAGGAAACGCGGTCACAGGGCCCAGGGAGGGGGAAGCTGAGAGCCCTGCTGCCTTCATTCGCTTGAGCTCCTCGAGGGCTTGGGCGTCCGAGCTCCAGGCCTCAGGCAGAACAGCCCCTCGGAATGCTGATGTGAGTGGGGGCTGGGTGGGAACAAACGGGCAGATGGGTTAATCGCAGGAAGGGGGCAGGCGGAGTGGCCTGGACAGGGCGTAGGTGACGGGATGGTCTAAGGCCTCTCAGAGCTCAGAGAGGCCCAGCTGCACAGGCTTGTGTCCTGAGAAGTGACTGCCAGGGCTCCTTTGGGAGTGCTGGGGCTCTCCAGAGGCCAGGCTGGCCGTGCCGGAGTCCAGAGTCTGTCCCCTCTTTTCTAAGTGACAGGATTTACCAGGAGCAGCAGGGACAGTCCCGTCCTGCCAGGAGCAGGCTCCGTCTCCCAGCTCTCCACAGTCCCCCCTTGTGCGCTGAGGCAGTCCTCGGGTGGGGGCACCTCAGAGCCCTCCCTCTCTGACACTGGCCAAGCTGGTGGGGCCGAGGCCCAGTTGTCTAGGGAAGGGCAGCAGCTCCGTAGTAGCAGATGTTTGCAGGCTCAGGTGCCCTGGTCACCCCCCAGGTCACTGGACAGGCTTCAGGTGCCAGCCCCTGGGAGGTGGTTGCCATGGTTACTGGGAAGAAGAGGCCATCTGCGTGGAGATGAAGGTCTCGATGACGCTGTGGTTGGATGGCAGCAGGTGGCTGTGGCCGTTGGTGGACTCGGAGCTCTGGTACAACACCAGGCTGCTGGAGGACACTGCAGGGGCAAAGGAAGCTGCTGCCGCCCACCAAGCCCATCCTGACCCCTCCCACTCATCCCTGAGGCACTGGGGATGGGGGAGGTGGGCCCTTGTCTTACTGACCCCCAGCAGGCTCTGGGGCCACCCAGGGAGTGGCCTTCTCAGCATTTTAGTGGAAATGTTAGAGAAGCGCTGGTGACATGGTGAGGTGGTTAGTGTTACGTGTCAGCTTGGCTAGTCTGTAGTGTCCAGTCATTGACTCAAAGACTCATCGAGTGTTGCTGTGAAGGTGTTTTGTAGATGTGCTTAACACCTACAGTCAGTTGACTTCAGTAAAAACGTCCCTCAGTGCTGTGGGTGGGCCTCATCCCATCAGGCGAGGCCTTAAGAGCAAAGCTGCGATTTCCCAGGGAAGGATTTCTACCTCAAGATGCAGCATCAACTCCTGCCTGCGTTGCCAAGCTGCCCAACAGCTTTCGGACTTGCCAGTTCCACAGTCACGTGAGCCAATTCCTTAAATAGGTATGTGTCCTGTTGGTTCTGGCTTGGGAGAAGCCCAGCAGATTCCGATGGTAAGAGAATGGGCTTTGAGTTTGGACCTGGGTTCAAGTCCTGGCCCTGCCACCTAGTAGCTGTCAGAGGCAAGGCCAAGTCCCTCACCTGAGTGTCTGCTTCTCCTCTGTAAAATGACAGCTCCTCAGGTGAAGCGTGGAGCGTGGACCGTGAAGCCCTCCCTGCAGCCACCAGGGCCCATGGAGGAGCCTGAGGCTCGGAAAGGGCAGCAACTTGCCCACATTGCGCATTAGCAGGTGGCCGCCCAGGCCTCAAAACCCGGCACCTGGACTCGACAGTGCCTGCTCGTCACCATGACCTTGTAGGGTGCAGACTTGGATCTTAGGGGGACGGAAATAAATGGGTTGAGGGGGACATGGTGGCCTGAGCCCACACGCTGTTGCTATGTGGAAACGTGAGTCCTTCCAATTTTCCAAAAGATGTCAGAAATCTGGATTTTTTTATGAAAAATCCTAATTTTTAAATGTTGGCAATGATTCAAAGAATGCTAACCCTGAACCACACCCACGCACCCACGAGCCACTTCTGGCCCACAGCCAGCGCAGTGTACTCCTCTTCCCGTGACTGTCTCTTTTCCTCAACCCAGTCAATGAGACAGAGTCTGTGAGATGTGCTCATTTCCCTGTGCTTTCCCAGCCCTCTTGGCTCACTTCAGGGGAGCACAGGGTGCCCTCCAAGATCTGCCTCATTACCCCCAACTCACAGTTTGCCCCACTGTTTTTGTGCCCAGGGCCATTTGGATATGACATTCGTGGGCCACACACAATTATCAACTTAAAAATTAGTCTGCTATATTTGGTCAAATGTTTAACTCACGCCTAGTGCCTTGGCAGGGCCAGGCCAAATGAATTTGTGGGCCTTATCCTGCCTGCGGACCGGTTCCCCACCCCTGCACACACCCAGCAGGGAGAGGCCGCTCACCTGGGGGGCTGGCGCTGAGCCTGTGGGAAGGCTGCAGGTGCTGGATGCCAGCAGGGTCCTGGCTGGGGATGTGAATGGTGGTGGCCTGAGATGCTGGCGTGTGAAGCCCAGACTCGCTGGAGGCCTCGGTGTCTGAGATGAAGACCTGGAGAACAGAGCCGCCTTCTGAGCCCCAGGGTGTTCTCTGAGGCGGGCCCGAGGGGGGGTGGGGGTGGGCAGGGCAGCCCTGGGCCTTACCTGCTTGGTGGGTGTGAGGCTGGCCAGGGCGCTCAGGTTGGTGGTGTCGGTGATGAGCATGGTCTGCAGGCCCGTGTGGGTGTACTGGGCCACCTCAGGCTTGTGGCTGTAAAGGGCTGGCCAGGAGGGAGAAGACAGAAGAGGGTAGAGACTTGGCATCCTGGGCAGGGCTGGCCCCCTCCCAGGAGGGCCTCAGGGCTAGGTGCTCTGGGGAAGTGGGGTGTGAGGCCTGGGAAATGGCCTGATGGGGCAGTAGGGGGAGACTCAGGGCTGATTTCCAAAATGGAGTTCAGATATAGGGTTGGGGCCCTCTCCCCAACTACAGGGGCCTGCTCAGCCCCTGCAGAGAGAAGCCGGGAAAGGCCCGGATCCCACACCCAGCTCCGCCCAGCACCTGGATACAACAGGTGTGAAAGGGAACAGGAGGCTAAACAGGCCTCAGAGGGGAAGGCCTTGCCCCTCTGAGGGGCAGCAGGGCGGAGGGCAGCATATTTCCATGGCCAGGATGCCTCTGAAACGTAACCAATTTCACCTAATAGCCACCCCCACACAGACAGACACCAGTAGAAAAACTCATATTCTCACCTTGACAGATAAAACAATAGCCACCCACATAACACATATAAATGCATGCTCTCAATCAAATGCACACAGGGATATGCACACAGGGAGTATCATTGATCTGCCTCCTGCACGCCCCCTACTGGGGACCGAGCCCACAACCTGGGCATGTGCCCTTGACTGGAATTGAATCTGGACCCTTCAGTCCACAGGCCGATGCTCTATCCACTGAGCCAAACCAGCCAGGGCTATTTAAGTCTTAATTAATCTATTTGGTAAAATTCTACTTTTTGCTGCAGAAATCGTAGGGCTTGGTGCCAGTGTTAACCCCAAACGCTGCTGGGAGAGTTATGTAATCCATGGTATGTTCCCCATATTAACCTTTGAAAATCTGAACATAGCTAATTCTAGAGAAAGACTCTGGCCTGTGTTCCCACACGTGGGCATACCCCTGAAATACCGATGAACACCTAGATATGTTTCCACTCACACGTGCACACACATGATCACACGTATTCACACATGGAAACAGGTTCTGGCCACAGACACTTACCTGAGCCCCCCAGGGCCCCCTCCATCACAAGCTCTCACACTTGTACCAGAGACACACACAGGCCGCAGTATCTGCGAGGTCCCCTCCCCTGTGCTCACCGTGGGGGCTCTGCAGCTGGGCCATGGTGGCCATGAAGGGGTTCTGGGCCATGTGGCTCTGCACAGGGGACATGAGTGGCTGCTGGTAGGAAGGGTGCAGCGGCTGGGAGAACTGCACAGGCTGCAGGGTGGCCAGGCTGCTGCCCATGCTGTTGATGACGGGCACACTCTGTGCCTGTGTGGACGCCAAACCTGGAGCGGGAGGGGCAGGAGTCAGCCAGGCCACCAAGTCCACTGCCTCCCCGGGACCCCTGGGGCACCATCCCCCCTGCCTCCCAGAGCCAGTGGGCTGGGGGAGGAGGGGAGGCGGACAGGAAATGCCTTTGCCCTAGGACAGTGATGGCAAACCTATGACATGCGTGTCAGAGGTGACACGCGAACTCATTTTTTTGGTTGATATTTCTTTGTTAAATGGCATTTAAATATATAAAATAAATATAAAAAATATAAGTCTTTGTTTTACTATGGTTGCAAATATCAAGAAATTTCTATATGTGACACAGCACCAGAGTTAAGTTAGGGTTTTTCAAAATGCTGACACGCCAAGCTCAAAAGGTTCGCCATCACTGTCCTAGGACCTGTCACTAACTCGTGTCCCTGGCAGGTCACTCCCCTTCTCTGAGCCTCTAGCTCACTATCTGGGCAGGAGGTGGGTCTGCCTGGGTTCCCTGGAGCCCTGGGTTCCATGCAGTCGAAGGCCCTGGGCTTAGCTCTGCTCTCCTCTCCCATCAGCTCCCATCTGTCTTATATACTATTGAGCGGCTGCATAATAGCTCCTGTAAGTGAAGTCCTCTGGGCTTTAAAGAAAAGCTACAGCCTGGACCACATTGGCCCCTCCTGCCGCTCGTCTTGCCCACCCGTTTGGTCCCCGGAGGCACTCTGCTCTCGCGTTGCGTTTACTGTCTGCCGCCCCAGTGGCGAGCTGGGCCTGTCTGGTTTACTGGGTGTCACCAGTGTAGCAGAGCCTGGCACAGAGCAGGCAGCGAGGGATGGTGAGTGAGCGAATGGTCCCAGAGGCTCTTCCGGCTCTCGGCTCCATGCCCCACCCGCCAGCTTACCAATGACCAGAGTGGAGGCGCCTGTGTTGGTGAACGTAGAGCCCAGCGAGGCAGGCTCCCCAGGCCCGATGGTCATGACCCCGGGAAGCGAGGCCATGATGAGGTTCTGGGGCTGCTGGCTGAGGCCTGGGGAGGTCTGCTCCAAGCTGTGCAGTGCTGTCAGGGTGCTGACCGGGGGCAGAGGCCCCCCAGCTGCGGAGACCTTGGAGGGGAAACCAAGCTGAGTGAGGACTGCTTTTCCCAGCCAAGGGAAGGATGGGGTTGGCGGGGTCTCACCTACTGGGGCAGGGGGGGGGGGCACTCACCAGCTTGGCTTCAGTGCTCAGCAGGCTGTGACTGGGCTCCAGGCCTGTGGGGGACACTTGGTGCAAGGGTGTGGACAC